AATTTGATCTCAATCTTATTCAAAACGTAAGAATTATGGACTGTAGGAGCTTGTAATCCAGGATATAGGGAAGCATTAATGTGAGGGCAGAGACAGGGGAGGTGAGCAGGAGCTTGTCATCCCCATGACTTCAAAATTTACCCTAAATTCATTATACCTTAGCAAAATATGAAAAACTAATGCTATTAGTTCCCTTCAACCAATTTATTTTTAACATTTCTCTCTCCGTCTCTTTTTTTTTAATATAAGATTGTAAACATGTGATGGGTTAGACGCCAGATGGTTAAAAGACTTATTATAATTACATCATTTAGAAACGAACATGGATAAAATATCCTAAAAATATTTTTTTTCTCCTTTTTCAGACGCGTCGGACGCCGACGAGTGCCTAGCCTAGCCCTTTCAATTTCACTGGCTATATATATATGCCCGTGCCGGTTCGGTTCCGGGAGGGTGCCATTAGTAACCAGGGGAGACGTACGTGCTACCTGTGGGTCCACGTGGATGGACGATCCATTTGCTTGGGTAGTACTCCCTAAAGAAAAAAGCGAGTCTAGAATTGAATTTGGCAATATTCTAGTACAATAAATTTAGACAAAGTTATGTCTAGATTCATATTACTAAAATATGTCACATCTAGTACTAGGTTGGTTATTTTAGGACGGATAAAGTAGGCCGTACTACATGGTTTTTACTGTCCCTATATACTGGATACCACATCGTATCCTCTCTTACTATAAAGTTATACTCTCTCTATCTCAATTTGATCATCACATAAGGTTTTTAAAGTCTTCCCAAAATGATCATCCTCTAATAGTAGGTACAATAGCAGGCTATTAGCTCGCTATAAATATATTTTAATAAGATAAACGATGAGAGAGAAGAGCAGCGGGCTACAGATCTGTAGCAAGCTGCAGCACGGACTCCAAGACGTAATGTGTGAATGACAGGTAGGACCATATATTAATAGTATAGTAAGCAACTATTGTACGAATTAGCTATTAGATTGGCTATAAATGAATTGAAGCTAGTTGTGGGCTATACTATTAAACCTTCTCTAACAAGTACATCTTTGTTTATTTGTGCCAAGAGTAAATGAGAATCATTTAATGCACTGCATGCAACTAACCAAGATTAATTTCTATTGGTCCAACAAACTTGATGCAATCCACATAATACGAAGCGATGTAGCACCCTAAACAATGAGAATTAATTGCAGAATGATCAATATTTTAATATTGTCTTTGGTCTCTACGCTCTTTGCTTAGATGATGATTAAAATAGGAATGGAGAGAGTAGTCCACTAATTCTTAAAGCTTAACATACAAAGATGCCACATTATTATCTACTAACAATTATTTAATTTAAGCATAATACAACCACGATATATTATTTATAATTTAATAAAAAATTTAGAGATTTAAAATGTAAGCATGCTAAATCATCCCATATAATTCAAAAAATATTTCAATATATCTCTCCATTATTTTTTTAATATTCTATATACCTATATTCTTCATCCTCACTTAGCTCATGTTATTTTTCTTTGCTCTCATTAAGTTATATCACATTAATTTTTTTTAGTCCATAGTCCATATATGATTAATATATGGTTCAAATCATCTCTCTTCTTTTCTTCTCTCGTTAAGTCGTATCATCTTAATTTTTCTAGACCTTAGATATATGGTCTAAATTATTTTCCTTCTTTTGTTCTCTTATAAAGGCACATCATCTTACTTTTACATTTGAATCATCATTCTGCATACTATTTAAATTCAAATAACATTAACTTATGTTTATGTAAGCTTATATTGTTTAAGCTATCTTACATTAGTTTTACTTATTGTTATCATAGTAAACTCCCACAACAACTCGCGGGGTTTCACCTATATTTCTAAAATAGTACTCCCTGCAATCCATATTTACAGCCTCCGTCCAAACAAAAGCAGCCTCTAGACACTACTACGAAAATCATTTTTCGTGGCGGCCATTTTGAGTTTTTGCTGGCGGAATTTAGAGCCACCACAAAGCAAAGGTCAATGAAAATCAAGATCTTCACTAGCGGTTATCCTCCGCCAGGGATAATTTATTTTTGCTGGCGGTCATCTTAAGCTAGCCGCCAGCAAAAATCCATTTTCTCTAGCGGTTAGCTTAAGACGGCCGCCAGCGAAAATTTCGCTGGCGGGTTACACTGTGCCAGCTGCCAGTGAAAATGTTGGCCAAGTTTAAAAAAAAATGGTGGACGGAGCGACACTGCTCCGTCCGCCTCCGTCAACGCTCCACAATTCAAAAAATTCAAAGAACTTTACACAAGCATTCAAAAATCCACAGAAATTTACATCAACAATTTACATTAAAAAATTCCCATTCACCAAAGCATTCAAGCATCACAAAAATCAACCCATTAACAACATTTTGAAGTCATCGTCACCGAGAAGAGCCCCGTCAGCGTCGGCGGCGGATCCGGCCTCCTAGGTCGTCGCGGCGGCAGATCCGGCCACCCCCATCGTTGCGGCGGTGGATCCAGCCTCCCCGGCGTCGCAGCGGCCGGATCTGGCCGGCCCCGAGCTCGCGGCGGTAGACAACGGCAGCCCGTGGCAATGGAGGAGGGAGAGGGAGAACGAGAACCCGCCGCCGAACCCATTGCGCGCGCCGTCGTCGTTGCCGAGATACACCGCCGAGCCTGAAGCAGCTGCCGCCGACTCCACCACCCTCCCCCTCCCTCCTGTGGCTGGATCTCGGAGGGGAGCCACCGCCACGCCCAGAGCAGCCACTGTCGCCGCCGCCGCCCTCCTCCCTCCCTCCTTCGGCTGGATCTGGGGGGGAGGGGAGGGGAGCCGCCGCATCGCCGCCGCCGCCCGTGACTGAGCTCGCCGCCGCCTGCACCAGCTCTCTCCTCTGACGCTCGCGCCCGCTCTTTTCTCCACCGCCACTGCCCCTACCGGCGCCGGATCTCCGCCGCCGCCCCTCCTGGCTCTGGATCTTCGCCACCCACACCCGCCTTCTCTCCGCTACCTCCGCCGCCTACTCTTCTCTCCGCCGCCGCCTGCACGAGACCCGCCACCGGTGGAGAGGGATGAGGGAGGGAGCTCTCCTCAGATCTAGAAGGTGGATCTGAGGAGGAGGATGAGAGGAGGAGTTGGTGGATTTGAGAAGGATGAGATATTTTCGCTGTGTGGTGGTGGCCGATGGATTTTTGACTGTGATTATATT